TCATCTGATGCTTTTGTTGGAAATGACTACCTACTGGCACTGTATCTGAATCAAAAGTGTGTGTGTGGCTTTAAAACTATTTGCTTCCGCTATTTCAGTTCAAACTTGGTATGTAATAACTTTATGTTCTAAACTCTGATGTATCAACTATCGTTGCGAACTTTATGTAACGTGTGACGGTACTTGCTAAACTTGTACGATCTTGGTTTGTATGTCGATTGGTTTGAAATCCTTCGTGGTTTCACGGACTACCGGGTTGTACGGGCTTAAGTTAGCTAAATTGTCTGCTTCGGCGAAAGATTTTCTTACTTAATCTCGTATAATTGGTCGGTTCTGTTACAATACCCTCATAAGCTAACCTGAACTTCTACACTGAGTAGTAGTTGTCCACATGGTCTTCACTTTTCTCTCTACTTATGCTAGTGATGTAGGCCAGTGCATGCTTACATGGTAGGCCTGAAACCTGCCAAGCCCTACAAGTGCAAGTCCTTTGGTCCAAATTCACAACAAATTTGAAGCTTGATCCTCCTCTTGCACACAACTCTGCAATGCCATCGCCGCTAGTTATGACATCAATATCTAGGTTCCTGCTTTCCTCCTTCAGCTTGTCCACAATGTGTGGAAGTATCTTGCCCTGCATCTACCTTGCAATCTTCCTTCTGTGGTTCCATTTGATTAATAACTTCTGTCTGATTGTATCAAGCAAGTCATCCAAATTCCTGCCTTTTTCACCTTTGATCCAGTTGTTGAAGCTCTCAGCTAAATTATTTGTGACATAGTCTATCTTACATGTGACTCCAAATTGACTTCTGGTCCATAGCTTCTTATGGTTCTGCTGTAGATAAACCATAGCTGCTGGCTTAGCTGCTGCCATTGCTGACCAGTGTTTCTCAAAAAGGTATGAGTTCCAACTGTAAGATGATGCCCACAAATGATCATCAAACACCTGTCCATGGAACCTTTTCTTAAAATTTTGAACAAGATGCCACATACACTCTCTGTGCTCTGCATTAGGAAATACCTCACTCACACCGGCCATCACTGCTTGACCACAATCGGTACAGAAGGTCAGACCTGGTGGACTCCCTATAACATCTCTCAGTCTCTCCATGAACCATATCCAATTCTCATTTGTTTCTGAATCTATGACTCCAACTGCAACTGGATACATCCAGTTGTGCCCATCTACTGCACAGGCTACACATAGTTGACCTCTAAACTTGCCCATGAGAAATGTACTATCAACTAACAAGTATGGCCTACAACCTTGAAGAAACCCATCAATACATGGCTTCATGGCAAAGAACAGTCTATTGAACCTAATCTTGTTATTAATGATATGATGATCAATAACTACAAAGCTACCTGGACAAGATTCCGCAATTTGCAACTTGAACCTATACAGATTGTCAAAACTGGACTTCCAATCTCCAAATAATTGGTTGTGAGCTAGTTCCTTACCATTATATACTCTCTTGTAAGGCACAACCACCTTGAATTTATCCTTGATCCTCTTCTGTAGCTCCATAGCTGACACCCTAGAATCCTCAAATACCCAGTCCTTCACTTTTTCACAAACCCAAAACTTGGTTGCACACTTCACTTTACCACTGTAAGAAAAATGGACCCTTGGTCCATTTACTTTGGATTTTGGTGTTTGATGACCAACACAACCAAATTGGACTAATGAATTTGTAAGTGATTGTTTTGTAGTCCAATAGGGTGCAAGACGTGACTTGGACGAAGGCGACGTGATGATCCGATGATCAACACCATAAGCAAAACCTTAGAAGCACAAGAGAAGACCCAAGATATCAAGCAAAGTTCAAGCACGAAGACAGGAACCAAGCCATACACAAGATCACGAAGAAACGAGCTCACATAGGTGACCGGACGCTAGAGGAAAGCAACCGGACGCTCCGATCAAGTAGCTCGGCAACATGCGTCAGCAGCAGCGACCGGACGCTGGACCGGACACTGGCGGCAAATCGACCGGACGCAGGACAATAGAGTCCGGTCGAGTACAGAGATGTTCCAGAGCGGCGAAACTACGACCGGACGCGTCCGGTGGCAGGTGACCGGATGATGGCAGCGTCCGATCAGTTGATCGTGGCTCCAACGGTCGGGACGACCGGACGCGTCCGGTCAGGATGACTTCAGCGTCCGGTCAGTAGCAGAAAAGCGGGATTTCGTTCCCCAACAGCTGCTTTCTCAGTGGGGCTTATAAATAGACCCCCCAACCGGCCATTTGAGTAGTGTGGAGCTGAGGAAACATATCAAGGGTGTTGATACACCATTGTAGTGATCTCCACTTGTATAGTGCTTAGTGTTTCATTAGGTGATTAGCGTAGGTACTTTGCGAAGTGCTTAGGTTGATTAGACCACCGTTTATGTTCTTGCTCTAGGTTATACATAAATAAAAAAAATCATGCAAAGTTCATGAGCAAGCCTCCATCCAAAGATCTTCAAATTTTCAAATTTTTCTTCACTTCTTCGCACTTCCCCCTCTGTCATTACATTACCCAAAAAGATAGTCTCAGACATCATCATCATCACTAGGAGGGTAGTACTGTGGAGGAGGGAGCTGAGGTGGATAGTAGACTGATAAGGAAACTGAGCTGGAGGAGGAACCGGCCTTGGATAGATCATGTTGAAATGGTCACTAAAAGCATTGAAGTTATTGTTCAACACATCAACATGCTGCTCAAGGTGATCTTGTCTGTTTTGGATCTGCTGATACTACTCATGTGTGGACAAGGTAGCAATCTGTGCACTGAGAGCATCAATATCATATGTAGCCCCTGCTGAAGACCCTAAAGACTCAACATAATAGCTGATACATGGTATTGCCACGCGGGTATATATTGTGAGGCGGGGGTGGTGAAGCGCAAGGCAGGCCGCACTCGCTGGCTCGCTGGGTCCTGGGGGTGCGTTCTGCCGGTTCAAGTTTACATGAAAGCAACAATTCAGATCAGAATCTAAAAACACGTGCAAACAGTAGAAAATATTTTCATTTCCGGTAGATAATAATCATACCACGTACTCCTATTTGCAAGGGCAGTATCGTCTTTTGTTCGGAAAGCATCCGCTGTTCCGTGTGGCCGAGCAAAACAAACGGTCAAGAGAAACGGGGACAAACGGCTGGTCTTGCCGGAATCTTCAAAGGCTGGGCTGCAGAGCTGGTGCAGCTGTGGGCCTCTTTGGCACGACTTATGCCGGCTTCGGCTTCATCTATTTTGCGTAAATCGAGGTGTTGTAGCGTGAAGTTGTTTTGTAAGCCGGGGTTAAAATGAACTAGAAGCCGAGAAAAATCAGTTTTTCTGGCTTCACCGGCTTTGGCTTCACCGGTGAAGCCGTTTTGGATGAGCCATATCAAAGGGGCTGCAGTCTGCTTCTGCGCAGAGATCAGAGGGCAGTTGCTCTCCGTTCAGAAGGATGAAGCCCACAAAACTTTCACGCAACGTATAAGCAGCAGACAAAAAACGCAAAGGGGGAGCAGCCATGCACGGGAAAGGAACTCAGCGTTCCAAACCTCGCTTGATATTCCAGACTACTACCGGTTATACTGCTGCACCTGAAATCTTTGGAGCTTCACGTTTGCGAATTATATTATCTGCACCTTTACTTACTGAAACATAATTTGTGAGATAATACATCATTTACACTGTGTTTTCACGCTTTTCATTTCAACACAAGATACAACTGAAATCTTGGATGTATGTATTAGCTGTGATCATCGCTTGAACTTCAGTTCAGGCTGCTGCTTCCTGCTTCTTTTTCAACCTGAGTTCAGGTTTTGTTGCACTTTGGTTGACACTACACTGGTTTGGATGAAAGCGCATGCAGACCATCAAAAGGATGCCCCCCGCTCCAAGAAGTTAGTGAACCGGAGCATGCCTTTACAAGCGTACTGGAGCACATATCAGAAAGAAAGAAAGAAAGAAAGAAAGTTCAGATGAGATTCCGTTCTCACAAATTCACCAGCTATGCCTGCTGTGCGTAGGCGTGTAGCTATTAGCTATGCCGGTAATAAAGCCATATCATCAACGTAGAAATATAACGCAGGCATGTTAGGCTACTTCCAGCAGCACTAGGCAGGACTTGCCGGCGCGGGTACAGCGCCAGCGGCCAGGCTCGACAGGGTGCGGTGCCAGTGCAGTGCAGGTGAGAAACGCGCTTCGCGAGCGGTGATCCGGGGACCCTGCCGCGGCAGCCGGAGCCGCGCGCTGCAACGGTGGACGATGGACGGTGTATGATGATCTGGGCCTGGCCCTGGGACGGCGGAGTTACGGCGTTGCCGACGTTAGCGGCTCGGAGCGAATGCCAATGGAGATTAGCCGGCATCCTCGCTCGCACGAGAGTACGAGACCGGCCGGAAGGCTGAGGCCCAGTCGGCCCAGCTCGCCCGTCCCGTCGCCCGCAGACCGCAGCCAGCCAGCCAGTAGTGAGCCAGCGACTAATCGTCTTCCTCTGCTTCTCTCGTAATAACAGACGATATCGACCATGGCTGATTGGCAGAGGTCTCGGCGTCTCATCCAGACAGTCCGGTGGGGGGTTCTCACCAGAGGCGAGGTCTGGCGGCCGCCAGAGCTCGCCATACGCGTGGATCCTCCCCTGCCCGTCAGGCGGAGGGCGCCTCGGCTCCCGGAAGCAGCTCCATGTGGGCGTAGCCCCTTGAGTTCAGTATACGGAACCGAGCCCGAGCCCGAGTCGCGGGTATCGTAGAAAGTCTTGCGGTTGCGGAAAAGGACCGAGCTCTCCCGAGTCCGAGTGTCCGTGTCCGTCTCCGTCTCCGTCTCCGTCTCCGTCTCCGTCTCTGTCCTTTTTCCGCCGCGCGCAGGCATCTCACAGACATATATATCGCGAGCGCCACAAACGTCCTTTTCAGTTTTCGATCGACGAGTCGAGGGAACGAACCTTTGGGTTTAGAGGTTGCGGTTTGCGCGACTTAGATTTAGGTTGCGAGTTTGCTGCGACGAGAGCGGCGGGCCAAGGCGACGATGGCGACGACCGTGGGTTCAGAGGAGGAGGAGGTGCCAGAATCCGTCGTTACCAACCCTGTGATGGCCCGACAGATCAGAGGCCTCTTCGTAAGTGTGCTGATCCCTCTATTATTTCGTCCTACACTTGATTGCTGGCTTTTTCACATATATAGTGTCTATATATGTTGCAACTTATGCATTTTTTTCTGCAAAAAAAAAAGCCTGACTTTTCTTTCTTCTCTTGCATTGGCCCCTCGCTGCTCATGTCTTGCAGGTTTGTTATTCCCTAGCAGTGATCGCCATGTTCGCATATGTTGCATACTCGCATTTCAGAATTGATGGACCTTTGTGGGAAGCTTTTGCGTGGACGGCTGGGGAGGCGCCTCTCTTTCTAATACATCTCTGCATGGTACCGTGGCTGAGGGATATCTTCATTAGAACCTATGCTCAGGTCCCTTCGTCTGACAGCACGGGGAGTGATGATCTCTCTAGTAACCTACTAGTAGGACCTGAGAATGTGTAACCTAGATTTATGAAGCTTGCAATGTACGGATAAAACTAAAGGACGATACTCGATAGATGTAGCGTGGCTCCACTAATATTATTAGTTTTTGGTCAGTGACCGCTTACCTTGATGGGAGAAGCAATTGTATATTCATCCATCTACCAATACTTTTCATATCGCCCACTCGATCACCATATGGCGTCATCTCTTCCTTCGTTCTTTCTCTTGCATCACCCGCACGACTACAACTAGGGATTGGAACAGATCATATGTATTCGCAGGTCAGATCCGGATGTCACCTTTTACCACATTTTAATTCGGATTCAAATGCATATACGGATCTTGTCGAATACGAATACAAAACAAATGTCTCGAATTCAGATTTCTATTCGGATATTTACTCAAATCAACTCAAACTGCATATTGTTGAATTTAACAAAGATCAATAGAATTTTACTACTAAGTTTGTCGATAATCAAAATGAAAAAAAAGAATCAAAGTACACTTCTAATAATCTTCAATATCTTAGTGAACTAAACAAGAATGGTAGGCAACAAGTAGCCATTTTGCTTCATCAATTCTTTTTGTAATTATAAAATTATTACACACGTAGAGAATAAAGTATATAGGTATATAACATAGACAAGAATAGCTCAAAAAAATAATATAGTTATCAATAGATATTTAATTATTAAATATATCAATTAATTCATCACTATTTATATAATATTTAACATGGAATTATAAATTATATAAAATAATTTACATCAGCAAAAAATAAATTAAAGTGTTAAAATAATTTGCAACAATTATATTAGGTTTAAACAAAATTAGAAAATACTAAAATTAATTTAATATTTATGTATCATTAATAGTATTATATTAATGTTAAAGATTGCTTAAAGATATACTACTAAATAGATCCAATGCATGCATCATTAGTAATATTGAAATTAAAAATTAGTCACTAGTCATGAAAAGAAAACTTTGAATAGATTCATTATACCTTCTTTTTCGCAGATACGGATAAATGTCAGATATTCTATATTTGTGCCGAATACGGATCTAGAACCGGATAGAGAAAAATACTAAAAACGAATTTGAATACATCCATTTGATATCCACATTACAAATGGATACGAATTAAGATATCCATATTACACATTTTAGCGGATACGGATTCGGAAAATTCGGATTTCTAGACATCCATTTCCATCCCTAGCTACAACCATTGACCCATTTGCACGCCATGACTAGTGATGAACTGCGTACGGCTGCGTTTAAAAGCTGCAGGGGTAGTGGCGTAGTGATAGATAAAGAATTATACTAAACAGTAATATGTCTATATGCTAAATTGGGTAAAATCTATTTAGTATAAAATATCATACCATAATTCGATATGCAAAAATAATATAAATTTTGACCTTACCTTATAGAGACAAGTCTGGCTGCTTTGGGTCTTGCGAGTACTGGCCCTCAACTCACGGAGACGAAAAACGTTGAACCGTCGCTGTGAATCTGTGATCGATCGCTAGTTCGGCATCAAACAGCCATGGCCCTTTGGACATTGCAGCCTGGTACTCGGCTTCTGTTTTTTTTTTTTTTTGAACTAATAAGTAAGACAAATAATTCAAAATACATAGGGTGTGTACCAATCTATTGTGTGATGATATATATGGGCAAAATATCTTAAAACCAATCCAGTCTTTCAAGCTCGGACAAAGCATATCAAAACAGAATATCATATATTTATGTGTGAGTGTGTGAATTTGTTTTACTCTTTCTCCTATTTTGTTTTTATAAACATACTCAGCTCTTCTGCATGCTCAGGGAAAAACATGATAGATTATCATTTTTTTAGAAAGAGTAACCAACGTCCAACGATTTACTAGGTTTTCAGTTCATACCTCATCAAGATCAAGCTGCTGATAGTTGTAAAAACGGTAATACTATAGAACATACGTCTGCAATCTTAAAAAATCGGACGCTCTACTCCGCGCTTGCTCCACCACAGCAACCCCGCCTAACAAGCCCATCTACGCTCTCTCCTCTATCTACTCCATCTACGCTTCCCAATTCCTCGCTTCGCTCGTCGCGGCTCACCGCGCCGTCCACCCGCCCCAAGCCGCCTCGCGGTGGCGCCGCCATCCCGCGTTGAGCCGCGACGTGCTTCATCCCCCGCCGCGCCCAGTCCGCCTCATCGCATCGTGCCCGATCCCCGCCCTGCGCACCGTGCCCCGTCCCTCACCGCGTCGAGGCGCTGCCGACGCCGTCGTTCCCCACCAGGAGATCGTGGCCGCTGTCGACGTCGGAGCCGCCGCGATGCTCGACCTCAGCTCGCGACATCACGAGATCCGGAGTGGCCAGACCCGGAGCAGGCTTCTCCGACTGCACCTTGTGCTCCCTTCCTTCCTCGAATGTTGCAAGCGTATGTTTTAAGTGTTTCAGGTGTTTCATATGCATGTTGCAAGTGTTTCATGTGGATGTTGCAAAAGTAGATCGGGATGTTGCATGTGTTACAATGACTATACATGCATGTTGCAAGCGTCTGTTCCAAATGTTTTAGCTGTTTCAGACGATGTTGCACGTGCTTTATCTGGATGTTGCATATATTTCACATTTATGTTGCAAGTGTTTCATCCTGATGTTGCATATGTTTTCACACATATGTTGCAAGTGTTTCATCTAGATATTGTATATGTTTTGCAATGGCTACACATGTGTTTCAGACGTATGCTTTAAGTGTTTCAACTGTTTCGAACGTATGTTACAAATATTTCCTCTAGATGTTGTAAAAGTAGATCTGATATTACAAATGTTGCAGTGGACCCCATCTGCAATAGCTACCTGCTGCTGCTGCTGCTAGGCCCACCTGCATGTGCGTGCGTGTAGAGGGGGCGCGAGCGGCAGGAGCGGGAAACCGTGTGGGCACAGACCGAGACAGAAGTGGGCGTGGGATACGGAGCGCGCATGGGACATGGAGCGGCGCAGGACCCCACATGAAACAGTCGTGCAGCGCGGGCGTCCAGACGCTAGCCCCCGTCCAGATGTCCGGGTGCTAGCCTTTTTCCTCATAAAAAGTGTTGTCAATGAAAGTTTAGGAAAAATCCATGGCAATCTAAAATTTATAAAGTTGAGATTAAGGGAGGCTGATAGATAGATCAATTAACTAGGGGGTACAGTGCAACTTGTATTTAGATTGTACTGATATATGGCGTAGGTCCGATCGTTGAAGTTTTGATAGGAATCAGACTCATTTATTTGTAACCTACTCCAATTCATTTATGCCCTTACAATCAGCCAGATAAATGTGTGTCGTAGCACCGCTCTTTACAAATATTTTTACGCAATATATTCTCTCAAGGTAGGAACACTCCTGCAGCCACCGCTGTGGCGCTGTGACATGGAGACCCAGCGACGTCGTTGTGCCACGGGGGTTAGGGCTTTTAGGTTTGTTTACTCTCCTCTCTTGTGTGTGTGTGTGGCTCTAGGGTGGGTTTAGATTGTCTCGAACTAGTTTTTTTTAGGGGAAACAGGAGGGGGTGCCCCCTACCATGCTTTTATTGAATTTTGTAAAAACAAAGGTTAGCTTACAAGGTGTTTCACGAAACAAAAAAAAAAGAAATGTAAAAAAATTGAATGATTACACATAAGCCTCTAGCCATTGGGTAAACAGTGGTGCTAAAGTATGTTTTGCTCGAAGAATAACTTGAGTAAATTCTCTCTTGAAGATAGCTTTGCAATGAAGAACTGAGGGATGTACTTGTCTGAAAATCGCATCATTTCTGACTGTCCAGATGGACCAGCTCATTGTCACAATAATCTCCATGAAGAAAGGGAGCTGCAACTGATTCTTAAATGAAACCAGGGTTCCAAATGGGTCTTCTGGATGTTGGATAACCAACCCAAGAGTAGCCCAACATGAAGAAGAGAAAGGACAGGCCAAGAACAAATGATCAAAGTTTCTTCCACAGCTGAATGACAAAGTACACAATGAGAGAGGCAAATGGAAAAGGTCATGGAGAACAGCAGCTTGGCAAACCTGTTGAACAGTGATATATTTGTTCTTTACAAAAGAGAAAAGCCTAGCATGTTTGTGCTGAAGGAGAAGCCATTCCAAGTATCCAGCCAGAAGAAGCAAGAAGGACCATTGTTGACTGTGGCCACAGCCATTCCTTTCAAAACAAGTAGCAGTTTTTGAATATCACGCCACCAAAAAAGAACATTTTCTAGTTCTAGCAGGTGGTATTCTTTGAATATCTAACCTCCCAAACAAGTTGGACCCAGGGAATATCCAATCTGTTAAAAAAGTTATGAAGATTCTTTAGTAGCAAGCTGTGATTTTGAGTTTGTAAATTGAGAGCCCCAAACCTCCATTTGCTTTAGTGTCACATACCATTGGCCAAACTGCCTTTGGTGGCTTTTTGTTGTTTACATCTGAACCATGCCATAAGCAATGCTTTCGGAATTTATCAATTTGCTTAATAACAGTTTTTGGAAGCAAATATTTAGACATTGCAAAAGTTGGCAAGGTACTGAATACTGCATTAGTTAATTGTAGTCGACCAGCTTGACTGAGGAAACTTGAAATGCTAACCAAACGGTATTCACAACGTGAAACCAGTGGCCAATATTCAGCTACTGTTGGCCTGGTGAGTGGTGAGACTTAGTGGCAAACCCAAATAAGTAAGGCCGTGTTTAGTTCCAAATTTTTTTCCCAAAAAGTGCTACAATAGCCATCACATCGAATCTTGCGATATGTGCATGGAGCATTAAATGTAGACGAAAAAAAAACTAATTGCACAGTTTGGTTGAAAATTGCGAGACGAACGTTTTGAGCCTAATTAGTCCATCATTGAACATTAATTGCTAAATAAAAACGAAAGTGCTACAGTAGCCAAATTTCCAAACTTCACCCAACTAAACAAGGCCTAAAGGGTAGAGATCCCTTGGAGCAACCTAGAGTCCTTGAAAGAATGTCCAACTTAGCTTCATTCACATTAATTGGCACCATCATT